AATGAATTTGTACAGAGCGGAATTTAAAATAATTGACCTTATTTGAGGTTATGTTACTATTATTATTTTTCTACCTAGAACGCGTTATAAAGATAAAGAAGAGTATTGATTTCTTTTTATAAAAATTTTAAACAAGAAAACTTCTTAACTCTTTAAGTGTAGAGTATTTTGATTACAAAATCAAATTCTTACCAAGATTTTTTGACGAATAATTCCTATATTCTTATTGTAAGATGCTTCATTCCCCCTTCCTAAGTTAAATTCTGCTTTCTTCCTTTTCTAATAAAGAAACTATTTGCTATATACCCAACACTTGCACAACTGACATAGGACTTTTTAAATCCCGGGATTCTCCGCGCTTTAAATATTTGTTTATTACGCAACTTGTTATTATAATTTTCCTCAACTCTCTATTACATATATTCGAAATTTTAGTTGAGAGTCTCGATCGCTGTTTACGATTTAATAACGAAACAACTTGACGATCCCAAATACCGCCTCCGCAACGGCGCGACAATTAATATCCCGGCAACGTGCTCGCATGGGAAAATTTCGTGCGCCGTACGTGGGCGAATATATCCGCTCTCATTAACGATCCTCGCCCTTTATCATCCAGAGGGTCTTTTTCTTTTTTTTTTACGCAAGATTTCCATAATAAAGAGAGAGACTCGCCACGATATCGACGACGTCCATTGCCGATACATTTCGCACAGTTTGCGATCCGCATAAGGGAGCGACGACGATTCGAATGAACCAGCAGGGGCGTGTAATGGAGGGTGTATATTTCGGAAACTATTATGAGCATATTCTCTGTTTCGGCACGTGCCCTCGCAAGTTGTAAATCGCTTCTATAAGCGTTTCTCATAAGTTTAGCCGCAAGTTATGAGAGAGCATAGTTGAAAAGGCAGTACAGCTGTGTTAGTACTAAAATATTTATACAATAAATTAATTATTATTAATTATTATTTTCCAAATTTAAATTTGTAACAGAGTAAGAAAAATTTTTTGTTGTAGAAAGTTTTTTAAATTCAAAAGAATATAAAATAGTATTGAGAAATTAATAACTCTATAACTTTTATTCGGAAATTAATAATATATTAATTTGATAATATAATAAGCTTTAATATATAATAATTTGAAAAAACTTGCTCTAATTTTTGTAAAAAAATGTTCACACTAGATTATTAAACTAGATATACACTAGGTATTTAAATTTTAATTATGCGTCAATATTTTAAATTACGATTGCGCTTCGATTGCTGTCAGCACGGGAATAAGCACTTTGGCAGGCGAGGCCTGTATTTACCCGCACTGACACGAAATTGACGTGTGAAGCACACACTTGTGCTTGACAGGGTAGTCTTCGATAAGTACGACACAAAGTCGAAGCAGGAACTATTATTCGAATATGCGCAGTTTCCATTTATGGAAAAATCGTTAAAGGATAGCACATATGTCATTTAGTTTGATTCCCATTCAAAGAGATACTTGAACAAATTTTTTTTTCCCAACATATATCTCTCACAATCGATAAAAAAAATATGTAACTTATTACTTCAGACTGTCTTATTTAAAATAGAAGCAATAGAAATGTGATAAATAAATTTTGTATATATTCCTGGTTTATTTGTTACGTGACAGTTAAAAATTAAGATAAAATAAACTGTAAAAAATAATCAAAAACGTTTTACTATAAAAAATAAATATAAGTGCGACAATTATGGTTTATGCAGCATCTGCAGAAGCTGCAATCTGGTCGCAGACATGCATCTGAAAAGCTACTCCACGGCGTAAGCTCCGAAGAATAAAGAGTGTGAAATCTCGCGTCATATTACAATAATTTTAGGATTTATTACAGATTACAATAATTCTAGGATTACAATAACTTTAAGTAAAAAAAATTCTGTATATTTCTAACTTTATATTTCAATATTCAGATAATAAAAAATTTATAGAACAAGTATTATTTAAAAAAATTAGTTTTCGTATATCAAAAATCTTTATAAAAATTAAATTGTATAATTAATATTTATGGCATTTTATTTTTCCAATAAGTTTACTGAGATTCTTTCATTTGCTGCTATTTGGGATAAGCAGCGAACAGTGGAACTTTTAGCTGAAACGGAAGGCATCAACAGTAGGTAAAGATATAAATAGGTTTCGTTCTGTCGATCAAGTACATTCATAAGATATCATCAGTTAATATTTTTGCGTGGATACTAACTGCTGATATACGGACAAATGTCTGATGATAAGTTATCTTGTTTCTAAATTCCTTATGAGAAAAATGCAAATATGTAAATTTGTGAATTATAATTTCAAATAAAATATAAAGAAACAGAAGAGACATTCTATGACAGCAGAAACAATTATTGTCATTTATATAACAAATGTCCAAATGTAAAAACAAAAATTTATTTTGTATTATATTTAAAAAAAAATTTAACGTATAAAATAATATATTTTGCTCGCAGTTTGAGAATTGATAGCATTTTAAACAAAATGAATAAAATATCCTTGCAGAAGGAATCTCTCTCCCATAAAGGAAGATGGAAAACTTTAAAATCTTGAAAATACCTGCGAGAACGTAGTATTTCGTATTATGCCTGCCAAGGTATAAATTCTTAGCCGTCATGTTTCGAATGCATCCTGAAACAAACAAACGGCAATTTAAACAAATGCGAATAACATTTGGCGCGTGGCCAATGTCAGCGATCGATTTTGCGGGCCGTACGCGATGCCTTTCAAGAAATTCAGGCCAAAGTTCTCCATTTACCAAGTTTGCATAACTATACTCGAAGCGAAGCACTTGCCGCAAAATGCGAATCCACTGGTTGTCGTTAAAGTCGGAAATCGCAAAAGAAGAACGGTGGTACGCGAGAGAACCGATAATCCTATTTATAACGAGGTAAAGTTATCCAATCTGTTGACAATCTATATAATGATTGATGTAAAATATGATACGCGACTCGAAATTACAATGCAACATTGTTCTCTATGTGTCCTTGAATGATTAAAATTTTCAAATCCTCTTCAACTTAGTTTCAACAAAACTAATCTTTAAATCTCGTGATCGATATGAGACACGTTAATTACATATATTTTTTTAGTATTAAATAGCTGGAGATATTGTAGACTTTAATTTTTTTAAGTTTAAAAATTTGAGATTTTATCATTATACAGGGTAAGTCCAAACGTTCCTGCCAGACTTTAAGATTTTATAGAAAATTTAATTCTGAACAAAAAGTTTTCTATAAACATGGGTCGAAAAATGTTAGCGCCCAAAATCCTCTGAAATCACGGTTATTTTATACATTTTTTTAAAATATCCGAGAAAATATGCGTTTTTTAACAAGAAGTACCGAAACAAAAGTTGTAGAGAATTAAATTATCTTTCAAATGTATAAAAGAAGTTTTTTTGACGGTAGAGCTTTTTAAAAATACTCTTCATTTATGCTGTTATGGCCTTAGCTATGAAAGAAAGACTTTTATTTTTTATTTTTATTGATTTTTTCCAAGAAATTTATTAAGTTCCTTTTTATTTAATTTTCTTTTTACCTTCTGCTCTTCCTTTTATCTTTCTATGGTGATTGATTTAAACGATGAAGACAAGTAAAATTTTTTTAATAGAATGACCAACAAGTAAGATAAATATTAAAAATTAGCTAAAACCGTAACAATATAAATGAAGAGTATTTTTAAAAAGCTCCAATGTCCGATATAGCCAAAAAAACACTTTTTTGTACATTTGAAACTGATTATCTCAAAACTTATAAAACGTACTACAATTATTTTGATCATTTGAAAGATAATTTAATTATCTACAACTTTTGTTTCAGTACTTTTTGTCCAAAAACGCATACTTTCCCTGATATTTGTAAAAGTGTACAAAATAACCGTGATTTCAGAGGTTTTTGGGCGCTAACTTTTTACAGAAGCATTTTTCGATCCATGTTTATACGAAACTTTTTGTTCAGAATTAAATTTCCTATAAAATCTCAAAGTCTGGCCAGAACGTTTGGGCCCACCTTGTATATACTAAAATCTACGATCTGTAATTTATGTAATGTTTTTTTGAAAGAAAAGAATAAGTGGCGATAAGATCTCAAATCGGCCCTAAAATATCGCTTTTTCTTAAATATACGGAATCGATTGTTAGTAAATATGGAAGATATGGAGTCTTGGGAAATATAAAAATATTTTTTTTTATTTCAATACAATCCATTAAGAAATACGCCTTGAACTTAAGTCTGACCATAAAAAATCACGAAAAATCATTTTTTTTTTTTAGCATTTAATCGCAATTTTTTCGTAGAACGTGTTTGTGTACCACAAAAATTTGTATACATCTAGTATATGACTACGTAAGACACAACATACGTAAAATTGTTAATAGTACTGCAATGCGCGAGTAGTAAAAAATAAACTTAAACAAAATCTTTCCCATACTCACAGCATAAGATACGGTCTGTTTTATGTTTTGTTGCGAGTGCATTTGTTTGAAAAGATAAGCTATTTTATTTATTTGGACGTCATTATTTATTTCTTTTATTGGTGTATCAACAATATTCCACTAATGCAGTCTTGTTTAAATAATTATTGAAGGATAGAAAATACCTAAATCATGCTTTTGTTGCTGTAAATAATGTAAATATTTCAATACAACTTATACATTTATTAATGTTACTAGTAATATTATCAATTTATAACAAAGACAAAACCAAAAACAACTAGGTATCAATTCTATAATTCAAATGAGGGTAAAAATTACAAAAATGAGCGGATTTACTAGAAAATTTATAATTTTATTAGTCCAAACCTAGTAAATTCGCTCATTTTTGTAATTTTCATCCTCACTGGAATTACAAAATCGATACCCTGGGGCCGATTGTGGCTCTTATCGCCATCCATCCTTTTTTATTATTTTATATATTAATACGCGTTTAGAATGTTCTCACATTCTACTTGCGCATTTACTTTGTGCTCTTTAAAATATGCAGTACTTCGTATTCGACTTCACGTGCAGTTTGGACAATCTATTAAGCACGGGAATCACGATAGCGGTGTACTTGCGGAACTTCCTTCGGCGACTAAAGTTTCATGGAAGTATTTCCTTTGAGATCGCAACAGTATGGGAACAGCCAGGTTACAAACAAGAATTAATTAAGAAATAACAAGGAAAATCTTCGCTTTAGAGCTTGATATGAGAAACAATTTAATTTAAACAGAAGCAATAGTTTAAATTCTTGTAAATGACAAACAATTTAATAATTAACAAAATTAAAAAATAACGATCTTATCGAAAAACTATAAAATATTTTGCTTTAGAAATAAAAATGGAAATTAGATTTTAGATGTTTTAAGAGAAGAATGTAACTTTGAAAATTAAAAAAAATATATTTTTGCGAATATATTCTTGCTTGTAGACCGACAGTACTATCATAAATGGGCCGTATTGACGGACCCAAAAAACCCGTCGGCGGGCCCGAAGGGCTATGTAAAGTGCAATATCACTGTGAACGCGAAGGGTGAGAAAGTGAAGGTGCATCCAGAAACAGAAGGTGAAGAAGACATCGAAGGGTAGTTCCTTTTCAATATATATGCACATGTATAAACGAATATATATTTTTGACATATCTATAATTTATATGGATCGGCTTTCTTATCAGAATTTTTATCGCTCTTACGCTGCAATATCATGGGGAATATATTTAAATAAACGTGGCAGGAATTTATTGCTGCCTATTGGAAGCGAGAGACTGTCTTTCGGACAACGCGCGCGTTACATTTTCGTCGTTTATCGCGCTGACGGATTGCCAGACATGAGCAGCTTGTGCAGGAAAAGCGATTTCGAGAACATTAATCCCTATGTGCAAATATCGTTCGCCGGAATGAAAGTACGCTAGAATTAATTACTCGACTTTTTAATCACGGAGATGAAAAAGGTCGCAAGCTATCTGCGAGAAAAATATTTAATATATGTGTGTGTGTTTGTGTGTCATATAACGTTGCTGTTATCACAACGATATAAATCTATTTAGAGTGAATAATGTTGTTTTTCGGTCGTATTAAAATATAATGCTTTTATTAGGGATCGACAAGCGAAGAGTGGCAAACCTACTCCCCAAGATTCCACGAGGGCATCATTTTCAAGGAAATGTTTCCTGTTCTCTGCCACCGTGTACGAATCACTATAAAGCACCGTATCGACAGTTGTCGGACGTGCGTCGTAGCATTTCATATCCTGGACATGGCAAAGATTTCGAATTCCGGAGAGTACGGTGAGATTGCCAGATATATAATACATTGCCAAAAATGCACGGAATGTTTCGACGCACTTTATTTTTGCCAAACAGATGATTGGTTTCGGATAAAAAATAATTTTGACATAAATATGTATATCTTTTCTATCTATTTTATGCTACATTCTTGCATCGATTTCGACAAATTATTCGTATGATAAATCTGCTAAATTTTCTTATACCACGACAGCGTCATGTCCGGATAATTATTCACGCGCATAAATAGATTTCTTTGAACCAAACCTGATCTAATTAAAGCTCAGAGAGATGTATACAAAGTTAGAGCCGGGAAGTAATAACGTAAAAGCTCGACGCGAGCAAACGTGCGACATATTGATTGCGAAAGGTAAAATTTGATTTTCCAACAGGATTCCTGCCGACATATGGACCTTCTTTTATTCACTTTTACGGATCCGGTTCAGTGGAAAAGAACGGTTGTTCGGGCAGATGCTTGACGGCAATGCCTTTGTATCGCGGGAGGGTACTTCTGTCGTTGAAAACTGAAATGGATGACCCAGAAGCGTCCCCGGGAATCCGGGTTGAGACACTTTCGGCATTTCCCATTATCGAGGTGATCTAATTCGTTGCTATTCTTTGTTTTCGCTATTGTTGTTTTATAGTTGAAACTAGTTTCTTTTACATAGAAAAAGAGATCTGCTGTCTCAGTGTAATTTTGACGTTTATAAATAATTAATATATTATATAATAATTTTAACAATCGCACGTAAAAAAATTAATGTCAGACTTTAATTTATTTTATAATAAATCAAGCAAGTGATAAAGAATTTTGATATAAACCTAATAAATACAAAGATTATATTAATTTGTATAATTTAAAAAAATAATATATTTTAATAAATATTTGTCTTATAAAAATTATACTTGAAGAATTTATAGTTAAAACAGTTAAAACAAATAATATTTATATGTAATTTATAAAATAGCTTTTCTTTAGTCTATGATATTATTATTATCTACGATTTTATTATTATGATATAAGCTCATAGAAAATTGTGGGATTTAGAAAAGCCTATGGTCAACCGAGGAATACCTTCTGGTTGGCGTGCTTTATGATGTATGCATGATAGATCGTTCCCGATTCGGATCGAAATTGATCAGCTTCGAATTGAGTTTAGGAAACGCGGGCAATCGACAGTTTCCGCATAGCCAATGCGCTGAGAGCAATAACGACAGCCAATCAGGTGCCACATAAACTTTTATTCCCATTGTGGCCGTATCTATCTAACTTTCTATCTATCTTAAGAAGTTTCTTTAGCACTAAACGTGATAAATATAAAAAATAAAACTGGGGACAAAAGTTTCGAGACAATTCGCTTCAAATATCTTTCTTTTATTTCTCGCAATTATGGAGTAGCCGAGACTATCGATTGATTTCAACAGTGATGGAACTCTCGACAACAGAAAAAGAAATGACTGTTTCGAAGCTTCGTGATATTTTTTCATTTTGAAACGGAGCTCTTTAAAAGTTTGTCAAATTGAACTATTCGTCAAATGAGATGTGTTACTGTCGAAGTCACGCGAGAGTCTCCGGAGGCCATATTTAGCGCTGAACGCGCGACGAAAATATACTCGTCGTCTCTGTCTATTCTCGACTTTGGCAGAAAACGAGCTGCTAAAAAAGCGCCCGAACTTCGAGAGCCAATCAGTTCCGCGAGCCACTGGCACCTTGGACGGCAGATATAATTATGTACCCTTGGGTTCTAGAAAGCCTTGCTTGTACGTAAAATCTTGGTGGCCAAATTTGGAGTGGCGAATGTACAATAGCAATAATCTTCGATACATCGTCGAATTTTTGGTTTGTTGTAGACGTCATTTTTCGTTAAAAATGCATTTTTAAATATTTAATTTCTATTTAGTTTCTAATAAAAAAGATAGACGTTATTTTGAAATCAGACTGTTAAAATTATGTTACGTCAATTTATTTACGAGAGAGAATGAAGTCGTTTAGTTGCGTGGAATAATAATCAAACTTGCTTGTATCTTAAAATATCGTGGAATTTTTCGAGAATGCTGTTTGTGTGAATCAAGTATCTTAAAAATTTGTTTAATCCGATCCCAGGAGGTAAGACTAGAGAAATTAGAGGCTCTCGTGGTTACGCAGAATCCGACAGCTTTCGAGATTTACAACGAGACGATTCGCGCGTTGAAAGCTCACTGTAAACGATACCTATATGTATTGAATACCGGCAAATATGAAAAGAAAGGTGGAACTACGAAACTCGATCGCCATCGCGCGAGCTTGTGTCTCAAAAGCGTCGAGGATATTCTCGAGAGGATTAAGATCAACGGCGAGCTACCCAACAACAATTACATGAGAATCGCCATGATTCACGCGTACCAATATTTGAAAAAATTGCGGAAACTATCCGAAGATGTGAGTCAGACAATTTGCGTGTTAAGAAAAAGCAAAAGATATTTGAAATAACATTCTTTATACACTGCAAAATATTTTCTAAAAATTCAGACATTTTTGTCTGAATTTTCACAGATCTGGGTGCTTGAAAGAATTTTCAAACGATCTGTTTCTTTTAATCATTTTTCTGAAACTTTAGAAGAGTTTGTCTGAAAATTGAAGTGTATCTGAAAATTCATACAGTGTATCTGCAAAAAAGTTGTAGACACTGAAGTTTTAGTCAATTTTTTTTATAGTGTATCTATGAGCAATTTAATATACCAGCAATCAATGATAATTTTTAAATAAATCTTTTGAAAAGGCTGAGCTAATTATCTCCTCGGTAAAAATAGTAAATCGCTATTTTTTTTAATATCATTTTTCCGTCATTATCTTGATGATTCAGAATTATCAAAATTTGAAGTGTGTAAAAATTCAGACAGTGTATCTGTAAAAAAGCTGCAGAAGTTATGTCTAAAGTTCCAATTTTTTTTTTTTACAGTATAAAATAGACATTTTTAAAAGAAACGTTTTCTTTGAAATAAATACGATATAAGAATAATGAGCGATTTAAAATTTTCTTTGTACAATAATTTTGAGATATCAAATGACATTTTAATATCCTTATTTAATTAGCCTCAGCACAGTCTGCCAGACGTCTTTATATGGATGATCGCTGGTTCGAAGCGAGTCGCTTACTCGCGATTGTCCGCAGAGGAGATCGTCCATTCCGAGGAAGCTGCCGAAGCAGGAGTAAAGTGCGGCCGACGAGTCAGCCTCTTTCCCGGAAATCCGGACGATGAGAATGAAACCGTCGAGTATAGTGCCTGTAAAATCGAGGCCTTCCTGTGGCTCGGTAACGCAAAGTACGTCGCCGCGTGTTGGAGCGCGATTCCGCCAGGATACGAGATCGATCACGGCGCGAACGTCAATACCTTCCCGAAGTATATCGAATACAGTCGATCCTCGGTAAGAAAATGATGCAGTGAATCTCGAGGCAGCGACGCGGTTCATCAAATATCACACGCTGAATGTAGATAAGAATCTGATTGTGTCCGCGTTGTTACACAGTTCGATATTATAAGGCTAAATGCGCATGTGAAAATGAAATCGTAATAATGCGATCGTTTTACACAGACGTTCCAGTTGCGAGCTCATATATTTCAAGGTCGTTTCGATCCTGGGATGGACGCTTCCGGCTTGATGGACTCCTTTGTACGCGTCACCTTTCAGGGATACACGGCTTCCACGCGAGTGAGTTACGCGAAGTTTTAACAGTAAATGATACACACGTATTTAATACGCGCATGAATTTTTCTTTCTCGGTTTTTCTTTGGAGTGCAATTTGTTCACTCGTTATTGCGATAATTCTATTTCGCGTAGCGATCGTGCCCGCAATACCAGTAGTTACGGTTATGATACCGTGAAATTTCTACGGTGCATATTCCTATGACATTTCACTCGAAACGCACGAGAATGAAACGAGTGATGTAATATGAGCATGATTAATGTTGCGCATGCAACACATATATACGTTTAAATGAAGATGTTATTCTCTGATAGCGATGTACATTTCTGCGTTTTCATACTGCGTGTATATACTTATGTAAATAAGTGATACTTTAATTTATTAAATTTATAGTTTATATTAAAAAAATAAGATGCTGAGTTCACATGTATCACATAACATGTCCCATACAGCACACAAAGAATCACGAAATACACGACAATCACAGATATGTGCAGCAAGACCGGCGCCTACTACACACGCACACAATTGCGAACGCGTACATGTGCTGCGCAAAGCATACAGTGCAGCAATATAAGCCAATTTAAGAAAAATGTTTTAATAAAATGAACCATTTAGTATTGTTTATCGTTAACATCTTTCATGTAGAAATATTGCAAAAAATTATTTTATTATAATATTTTATTATTAAAATTATATAAAATTTGAATTTTGCAATATTTCCGAAATATTAATGTCATGTTGCTACAAGTGTGCTGGTACTTTGTGGCTCTATATTTCTGCAATGTCTTTGTAATATTGCATTGCAATTTGCAACATTGCAATGTTGCTGCAATATAATTGCAATGATCTGTGCTGTATGGGGTTATATTTCTTTCTTTGGATAAATGTATCTATCTTCAGTAAAAAGTGAATTAACAAATTAATAAATTTAAGAAAATAGCGATAACTACTGATATACTTGCAGGTGATAAGGCAAAGTTTAGATCCCTTCTGGGATCAGACGTTAATTTTTCCCCCAATTATTCTGCATGGTACTAAAGAATACATTAAATCGGCACCGCCCGAAGTTGTCCTGCAGGTTTTCGATCAGGATTTATGCGTAAGAGAAATCAAATTTTCTAATATTTTTTTTTTTTTTAATAAGAAAAAAGGATCTATGGCATATGCGCGTTAAAAAAATTAAAATGCAGCAGAAAAATGGTTGAATTTACATACCGTTATTTATAATATATCTAAAATCATTTTCGTTTCTTTTGAAGCGAAAACTAAAAAAATGTTGAAGCTATTTTTTCAACATTTACATATTATATAAAATACATGTATAAAAAACATAATGCAGGGTACGAAAGAGTTCTGCGGCAAATGTATCGCGGTGCCATTAGTGAAACTCGCAGTGGAAACTTACTCGCCGCCCGATTTCCCACCGAAATTACAATGGTACAAATTTCAATCGCGAAAAGATTGTACCGGTTCGGCCCTCGCCGCTTTCGAGTTGATAGAAGTGAGCTATATTGATTTTTTTTCTCGAGACAAATATTGTATACGCGGTATTCCATACTGCTGGCGCCTCTGCCTTTCCTTTCTTCGTTGCGATATATTGCTATTTGATGTTCCTTACGTTTACTTTTCGATATTACGATAACACACATGTCATGTTGACACGCACAATATCCGGCCAAATGTATGCGTGTACTATTCCGCAGACAGGGAACAAGGAGATGTTAGACGTTTCGTTGAACACGCCGGTGGAGGATAAGATTTACAGCATCCCGCCGGATATCAGGCCGAAAATGGCAAGCTACAGGCTCGAGGTGATCTTTTGGGGTGTTCGCGACATGAGGAAGATAAATTACATACCGGTGCGCAGACCGAGAGTCGTAGTGGAATGCGCTGGCATCCACGTCAAGTCAGAAGTGATGAAGAACGCAAAAAGATTCAGCAACTTTGAGGAACCGCACATTATAATCGAACTGGTAATCTCTCGAAACTATCTCGAAAATATTTGATTAGCGAACTTCATGCGCGGCATATGTATGAAAGCAGTTTACAAAAAGCTGCTGTAAAAAATTTTCTAAAAATTCAGATACATTTTTGTCCGAATCTTTTGATCTGGATGTCTGAAAGAAATTTCAGACAATCTTTCTTAATCGATTTTCTGAAACTTCAAAAGATAAATTTGTTTGCAAATTGAAGTGTGTCTGAAAATTCAGACAGTGTATCTGCATACATTTTGAAGTTTCAGTCAATTTTTTAAATGATGTATCTATTTAATATACGCAGCAATTTAATATACGAGCAATCAATAATAATTTTTTAATAAATTTTTTAAAAAGGTTGAACTCTAATAATCTCCTCGGTAAAAATAGCAAATTGCTACATTTTTTAATAGCAATTTTCCGACGTTATCTTGATGATTTAGGAGATTATCAAAATCTGATTAAATAAATCCATGCAAGAGCGGGAAAGCCGTTCTAAAAAGCATTAATCATCTAGGAAATGCCGGAACTCGATATTTATCATCCGAGTATCACTATAAAGGCTTACGATTCCCGCGGATTCGGCTGCTTCAAATATGCAGGGATCTGTATTATATCCAACATTCACGTATTTCTGGAGCAATTAATAACCGTGGAGGATTATGATACGCAGATATACGAGCCGACATTTATGCAAAAATTCCGGCTAGCGGAACGACAGACGGCAATTATATGTCAGTATATATTTATTATTTACGTATTATAAATTTTTAACTCAAAATTGAGGGAAAGAAGAATAAATCCATTTTTTTATTGAATTTTAGATACTATGCAAAACTGAAAGAAAAAAATTAAAATATAAGAAAAATATTATATTATCATTTTTTTCCATCACGTTTCTTATTAATCTTATTATTCTATTATCATTCACGGGCGCATATCATTACAAATATTTTTTATGTTATTTTCTTTTTTATATTATATATTCTCCAAGCATGTATGTCTTTTATACATAATATTTATTTTATTTTATTTTTGAGGTTAGTACCCTTACCAATCGATTATAGTCCTTCGAAAGAGGAGAGTAAGGGTCTTATTGCATATAAGAGAATGGCTGGAACGGACGTCCACTCCAAGCTGAAGAGGCTGTTTGTAATTATAAAGGGGATATTAAAATTCAAATTCTTTACTAAGAGAAAAAAAGTGGAAATTTACGGAGATAACGGTGACGAGACTCTCGATTGGTGGAGTAAATATTTTGCTTCCCTTCAGGTATGTAGATTAGAGAACCGGTAAAAAGAAATTACTAAAATTATAATTCATTATTTTTTAAAGAATTTATTATTACAGATAAAAAAAATTTATTATTGTTTGAATCCTTAAAACTTATGCTTAGAGATTCTCTATTCAAAAAATTTCGATATTAAAAAAATTTAACTGCCTGGATATTAAACTGTTTAAATATTAAACTGTTTAGATGCTTAATTGCTTAGAGATTTAACGATTTAATTGCTTAGATATCTCGCTGCTTAGAAGCTTACCAACTTAATTGCTTAGCTAGTTAGACATTTATCAAGTTAATGCTTGATATATTAGATACTTAAACATGCTGCTTAGCAGCTTAAACGCTTAATTATTCTGCTGCGTTTTTATTCTTAAAGTCTTGAATTTTTTTTGTATGTCGTATTATAAATTGCAAAAAATTAAATTCTTAAATTTCTAAAATTTCTACATCTATATTCGAGATCGTAATTTCTCGAATCTTCAATTTCCGTAGAATTTCGCTGGATTTAGTTTTACTTCTCGTTTCTTTTTTTATACGTAAATCGCATTGTTAATAAATGAACCGGTTCTAACGATAATGAGGTAGAACATAAATCAGGTAGGGCCACTTGACCGAGACATCTGATAATGCAAATTAGCACGTCACGTTGGATTCGTAGGAAGAGAGAGATAGAGAATTGGGAATGACGAGAACGTTCCGTCGTAAATTCGTGGCAACATTCAAGGTACCCTTTAATGAACTTGCCTGAACTCGATCGTTTAGACACTGAAATCAGATCTATTCCACGGAACTAGAGATGCAGCCGCAATTCGAGGGGTTTCAGGACCGGCTAAGCACTTTCGAGTTGTGGCGCGGAAGAAAAGGCGAGAATCATTATCGTACTGAAGATAATTACGTTGGCAAATTTAAGGTTAATTAATACCGAAAAAAATTATGAATTTGTTGAATGCGATAAATGCGAGCGATAAATGCGAGCGATAAATATGTGACGTTCAAATCGTAGAGATTTATTAAACGTCTCAGGCATATGATTTATGAATTATGTTTAAACGCGAGTTTTGTGACTTCTATCAGGGACATATTTCCATATACCGATGGCCGCATCCTGACAAACTTTCATGCAAAACGATAAACGGGAAAGACGCGGTTAATGGCCTGTGCAACGATTATCCGCCTCAAGAGCCTGTTAAGCTGCTCGTTAGACTCTACGTCGTAAAGGGTTAGTCTCCATGTTAAACCACGTGCACCGAAAAAAAAAGAGAAAGTAAATAAAAGAGAAAATTACTGGATTTCTCGAGAAGAAAATTAGCGTCTATATCACCGCGATATTTATTCTTGAAAATTGGTAGCGAAGTCATGGTAAAAATAAACTTCAATTTTTTCAAGGAATCTGAAATTGTAATCGAGAACGAACGCGTACGTGACTTTATTCTAGCCAGCTTGCATATTCCCTTTTCTTTATTAACGATATTTGAAGGATGAAAACATCTTTTTTATTTTACGCGCGGGATTTTTTTCCTAGCACACCTTATATTCTTCTCGACAAAACCAGAGGAGCTCGTCGGCTGAGCATCCAACCGAAAGTAAATTTGCTTTTCACGCAGGCATCAACTTACAGCCTAAGGATCCCCTCAGCGGCAAATCCGACCCGTATCTCTGCGTGAAGCTAGGAAAAAATTCCATCAACGACAGGAAGAATTATATACCCAATCAATTGAACCCTACGTTTGGCCGGTAAAATCTGCAAAAAAGCCGCTCATAGCTTCTTTTTCGAAGGCGCGTTTAGCAGTACAGTCATTTACCCTTTTTGGGCGTTATTGGGAAATCGAGAATTTTATCGATATCCATCTGTGCATCCGTGCGTATCGGCTTTTTTGCAGCTTCCAAACTGCATGATCAGGTTTTTCAGCTACTCTACGTAACAGCGTAGATGTAGCGATTCTCGTTTGAGTGAGATTATTCTGTCAACAAAAAGAAAAACTCTGTCTTTCCTTTTTAAAGATAAAACGGTTTAAAGATATAAACGGTTGACGAATAAATGATTTCTTAACCTGCGCAACAAGATGATGAGCGAAATAAAATTTATGACATTAGTTTAATTCATTTAAAAATCCTGAAAAATGTTGCTAGATGTTTAAAAGAATTTCCATAGATAATTTCAAATAAATATTTTTTTCTTTAAATTAATTATACATAATACAATGAAAAAAAATAACTCAAAGAGCCATGCTTATCCGGCAGCGTGTTCGAGATCGAGGCGAGCTTCCCACAAGATTATATGTTGGTCATCCAAGTGTGGGACTTTGACGCCGCGACGGCCGATGATCTGATTGGCGAAACGCGAATCGACATCGAGAATCGATTCTACAGCCGGCACCGGGCCCACTGCGGAATTGCGAGCGTTTATAGCACCGTCGGCTACAATGCCTGGAGGGATAGCGAGAGACCGACACAGATTCTGGAGCTTCTTTGCAGAAGGAACAACCTACCGTCACCGGAATATGGTGAACGCGAGGTTAAAATTGGCAAGACAATATTTCCCTTTCATCCCGTGATCGAACGCGAAGACGAAATTGGTACGTAATATTTCATCGTTTAAGGATTACCCAATCCGCAATTATTAAATAATATTATTGTATACTGTAAAAAATTTTCGAAAAATTCAGATACATTTTTGTCTGAATTTTCAAATTTGGGTATTAAAAAAAATTTTAGACAATCTGTCTTAATCATCACAAAGTCGTTTTTCTAAAAATTCAGAACGTGTATCTGAAAATTGAAATGTGTCTGAAAATTCAGACAGCATTTTGTCTGAAAATTCAGACAGCATTCTATCTAAAAATTCAGACAGCATTCTATTTGAAAATTTAGGCAGCATTCTGTCTAAAAATTCAGATAGCATACTGTCTGAAAATTCAAACAGCATTCTGTCTGAAAATTCAGACAGCATCCTATCTAAAAATTTAGACACATTTTTGTTCGAACTTTCAAACGTGGATATCTGAAAGAAATTTCAGACGATCTGTTTTAATCATCAGAGTCGTTTTTCTGATAGCTTAGAAGAGTGTATCTAAAAAATTTAAGTGTATCTAAAAATTCAGACAGCATTCTGTCTAAAAATTCAGACACATTTTTGTTCGAACTTTCAAACCTGGGTATCTGAAATAAATTTCAGACAATCTATTTTAATCATCAGAGTCATTTTTCTGATAGTTTAGAAGAGCGTATTTAAAAAATTTAAGTGTGTCTGAAAATTCAGACAGCATTCTGTCTGAAAATTTAGACAGTATTCTGTTTGAAATTTTAGACAGTGTGTCTACAAAAAAGCTGCAGACACTTTGTCTAAAGTTTCAGTCAGTTTTTGTAGTTCATATTGTGAGACATCAAGAAATACAATATAATTTAAATGTGATCAAGGAAAAATCCTCTTAATTAAAGAAAATATTCGTTAAGAGATTTTCTGTTATTTTATTTGTTTTTCTTAAAAGAAAAGTTTTTAAAAAAAGTAGTTAAAAAAGCTTCAAGTAAACAAAAATCGCACAGAGATATGTTTAGAATAAAGATAATTTATTTTTACCCAATATACATGGTTTTTCGATACTAGTGAAAATTAACGAATTTACGCTAAACACTCGATCGTACACTGACAGACAGAGAAGAATGTATGGCTCTGAACGTGCTTCACTCTTGGCAAGATTTTCCTATCTGCGGATGCGCCCTGGTGGTAGAACACGTCGAAAGACGGCCGCTTTTCAACGCTAAAAGGCCCGGTTTCGAGCAAGTAACGTGAATTATGCCAATTCATCGTGAAAAGTAAAACTCCGTTCTTCGAGGAAAAAACGTGACTTTCATACAAACGTCGTTAATCTCTCTCTTCGCGAGAGAAAGCTCTCTTTATATCTTAATTACACTGCGAGCTTTTGTCAGGTGATCATATTCTCCGGATCAGATCAAAAAATTTTTTCTAGTTAACTTGGATTTTCAACATGCAATCTGTAAAACATCAATTTTGCTCGAGAAAAAAAACGGGATTACAATATTATTCACGTACACCGCCAAAATATGTGTATATAAAATGTCTATAAAGTGTTTATAAAGTTTGTGCTCACTCCCTATATTTCGGAAATTGTTCAAAATCATAAAAAACCGCGAAATACGTGTTCGATCATTTCAAGGGGCTACTTTTTTAAAAGGGTTGAGGGACTTTTCTTCTTATGGGGGTGCCCCGGGGGGACCCCAACTCAAAAATTTCAAATGGAATCTCCCATATTGTAGTTTGAGAGGGCATAAAAAAGAAAATTTTTGACGCAAACCGGAAATTAGGTTATTTTTATTTTATTTTTTATAAAACCAAGGTCAAATATGAATTTTTTTTATGGAAAAGACTTAAAAAGACGAACACTTTCACACCTCGAACGTCTTTTTAGGATTTTCTCAATAAGAATAACAATTTTTTGAAAATTGGCTTTTTCGGTTTTTGACCCTAAATAACTCTCAAACGGGTCAATGTATCAACTTCCGATTTATGTCAAAAATTTTCTTTTTTTATGCCCTTTCAAACGATATACTACAATATGGTTCCATTTAAAATTTTTGGGTTGGGGCACCCCCTTAGGAAGACAATTTCCCAACTCCCTTAAAAGAGTAGCCCCTCGAAATGATCGAACACGTATTTCGCGGTTCTTCATAATTTTGAGCCGTTTCTGAAATATAGGGGTGGGGACAGATTTTATAGACATCTTGTATATATATGTATACAGGGTAGGCCATTTTAATGTATCGACTGAAATATCTTAAAATCTATAAGTTTAAGACAAAAATGTTTTAGACAAAAGTTGTATGATTCACAGGGGGACACATGATGAAAATATGGACTTGACCTTGAATCACCTTTTTAAGGCCAACTCAATGTGATCGATGTTTTCTTAAATGGAACTCCCCACTTTTTATTGCATATTCTTGTAGCTTATCTCGAGAGTGTTTTTTCAGAACACTATAATAAAGTATTTTTTAATTAAGTACTTTTTGAGTTATTTTATATTTTAATCTGACATATTTTGATATAAAAAATAAAATCTCGTAAAATATTTAGTTTTCGAGAATCTTACCGTAATACTTTTATGTACAGAATAATGAGACAAATCAATCAGTAAAAAAATAAAATAATTGTTTTTAAGAAAAAGTATGTAATTATTTACAATGTATTTTTTTAAACAATTATTTGTTTTTCTCTTTAGACTAATTGATTTGTCTCATTATTCGGTACATAAAAGTATTACGGTAAGATTATCGAAAACTAAATATTTTACGAGATATTTTATTTTTTATATCAAAATATGTTAGATTAAAATATAAAATAACTCAAAAAGTACTTAATGAAAAAATACTTTATTATAGTGTTTTGAAAAGCTCTCGAGATAAGCTACAAGAACATGCAATAAGAAATGGGGGTTTCATTTAAGAAAACATGGATCACATTGACTTGGCCTTGAAAAGATCATTCAAGGTCAAGTCCATATTTTCATCATGTGTCCCTCTGTGAATCATACAACTTTTGTCTAAAACATTTGTGTCTTAAACTTATAGATTTTAAGATATTTCAGTGGATACATTAAAATGGCCTACCCTGTAATATGTATATATGTATATATACATGTACAGGGTGTATCTGAAATGATGCACTAAACTTTAGGAGTATTCTATACTGCGTTCACGGAGAGAACAACCTCGCTTTTCGTCCGGTTCGGTCAGATCCCGCCCGATCGACCGCCCATTTTGCCCCCTCTATGCTGTCAATATTGGTCTTGCAGCTTGCAGATCAGGCTAATTGACAAAGGAGACCCGCGCATTCCTTAATGAATTCTTTCAAACATTAGAAAGTTAATATGATTGATACGCATACGGCATTGAAGTAACGCGCTGAAGTCTCTCACCTAATCCCCACTCCGCCCAAAGCTGCGCAAAGCGAGGTTGTTCTTTCCGTGAACGCAGTATAGAGGACATTTTTTTCTTATGAACATGGGTCCGCAAATGAGCCCCCCCCCCCCCCCGAGCTAAAATTCGAAAATGTGTGAAATACGTTTTTATAATATTTTTTCATTTTAGTGGCTTATTTTACTTCATAATTTACTGGGCTGTGACCAAACAAAAGTTGGAGGTAGATTGGATCAAACTGAGTCAAAAAGTCCTGAACCATTTTTTTTATAACGCTTAATAAAGGAGTTATTATTGATTAAGTCTGTCCAATCAGCGCCGACCTTTAGCCGCGCGCTTGGTAATTGCGTGAGCGCTCCGTCGCTACGGCGACGCACACTATAAAGCGAGCGGCTCACCGACGTGCGTCCGGCTAAAAATCGGCGCTGATGGGCCAGATTTTACTCATATATACTACTCAATAATAACTCCTTATATATATATATATATATACAGGGTGTCCGACAAGTAAGTGACTACACTTATATATATGTATATATGTGTATACAAACAACATTTTAGGGTAAACTCGAAATGTGGATCGATATGTTTCGTACCGGACAATTGCCGCCGAAACCGGCGGTCAGCATCGCCCTTCCGACACCGGAGGAATATGAAATTCGCGTGATAGTTTGGAATACCGAGGACGTGCCGTTGGTCGAGAGCCAATTTCTCACCGGGGAGAAGTGTTCCGACATTTACGTCAAGGGGTACGTCATCGTAAAAATATAAGTCGAGATAATTACGTTTTCCCAAAATTGCACGACGATTCGAAAAACATGATGTAATAGCAATTAAATTTGTTTAAATTGATGATGGAACTTCCCAAAATAATATATCATTTTCATATTTCGCTTCTGATGTTATAAATATAATATATGATGGCGGAAAGTATTATTTGATTTTCACAAATCAAATTTTTAAAACAACCACTTTTAATTCCAATGCGGATAAAATCCACGGTATAATCGACCGATTAGATTGCCATTACCAAATTAGAAATTACGTTCGAGATCTACTTTGAATAATTTCTTAGATGGATTCTGTACGAGGATTATCAGAAAACCGACATTCATTACAACTCTCTAACCGGTGAGGGTAACTTTAATTGGAGATTCGTGTTTCGTGTCACGTATTCGAAGGGCGAGAATGTCATGATAGTTCGCAAAAGAATGTCGGTCTTCGCTAAAAACGAGATCGAGGATAAACTGCCCTGTAAGCTTCATTTGCAAGTATGGGACAGCGATCATTTTTCTTCGGACGATTTTCTAGGTGATTGAAGTTTATTGGTATCTTTCATTAAGGAAATGTTCATTAAAAAAAATTGTCGATACGCGATACAGGACATGCATACTTTGTACATTTTATATTTTATCTGGCACAATTAAATCTTTAATTACTTCTTCATTGCGCAGCTAAAACGTATCGGAAAACAATTGCGCAATGATATCTAACGACATCGTTAAAGGTTACAGAATAGGCTCCTAAATCAGCAAAAAAATGATATAATAACGATAATTACATATCATTAAGCTCTCACTTTATTTATATTATGTACAGTTATACTATCAAAAAGAAAAAAAATGGTTTTTTTTTTAAATCTCATAGCATATTATCTAAATATTGTTTCCAACAATCTCTCATTTCAAAGAAAAAATGATGCTATCATATTTCTCTAATTACTAATTATTAAATATATATTAAATCAACAAATAATTTAGTATATAAAAATATATTAAATTTTCAGGCGACCTGACACCTCTTTCTCTTGGTTTCGCAATCCGTGGAGAGCGTGCCGCTTCGTCGTTTGTCGCTATTATAAATGGCGAATAGTATGCTGTTTTGTATGCACGCTATTCGTGCTTCTAGTAGCATGTGGAATTTATGCTTTTCCCGGATATTTTGTTAAACGTCTCTTAGGCGCTTAAATCTTCGATCGCGTACGTTATTTGACAGAATACCAATATGTGTTTGAATCTAACAATAAGTTGTGTTTAACAAACTTGCAAAACTTGCATTATTGATCGATGAAAAGATATTTCATTTCTCTCTATATATTCTTTAATCATCTTTCCATAAATGTGCATTTTGATTTCGCTTTCTTGTATGTCGTGTTCCTCCTTCCCTTCCTGTTCCCGCGCGTTACATTTGATTCTTTCTCTAGCTTTAATGAACAGCCGGTTTCACTCATCTCTGAAATGTGTTTAATCTTGCTTAATATGTCTTCCCCTATCTCTCCCCATTCCCTACCTTCTCAGCGCATTGCAACGTGACGAGAAATTGCCGTTGCCATGTTGGTACGAGCTCTCACTCAAGGGAGTAAAATTAATAGTAAATGTGTGTTATGTCGCTCTTTTCCCTCATCCCTTATTCGCTACAAATAACTATAAACGATACAATTTATAATTACCTGTCAGTACCGAAAACGTAGCAGTCAGGCTCGCAGTCAGATCTCTCTATCCTTTTTCCTCACGTACGACGTCTATATGTACTTTTGAGAACAATTTACTAGCGTCTTGAATATCGCGCGACGATGCATAGCACTGTAATACGGGTACGTTCGAAGTACGATTATAAACGCGTTATGTTCTTCATCTATTAAATATTCTCTTCTTCCCTTTCCCGCGCGATGCGACGAAAAGTTGCCGCTGCTGTCTTGGTTCAAGGCTTCTCACTCGAGGGAATAAAAATTAATAGCAATACAAGTTATGTCGCTCTTTTTTATATTCGGTATGAATGTTTACAAAGATGATACTGCGTTACGTTAATAGAAGTAAACGGACTTTCCCATCTCTGGAGTGTTTTGATTTCGCGCTCTTCCTCCTCTTCCCTTTCCCGCGCGACGCGACGTGAAGTTGCCGTTCTTAGTTCGAGGCTTCTTACTCGAGGAGATAAAAATTAATAGTAATAAAAGTTACGTGTCTTTTTATATTCGGTACGAATGTCTACAAAGACGACACCGCGTTACATTACCAGAAATGGACGGATCTTCTCAGAGTTAGTGGCCCTACAATGTTATGTTTTGATTTCGCGCTTGGTATGTCTCGCGTTCTTCCCCCACTCTTCCCTTTCTCGCGCGACATGACGTAGCGGCGAGAAGTTGCCGCTGCCGTGTAGTCCGAATGTGACCACGTTACAGTACTGTCGCTTCGCGCGCTTAACGAAGGAGCACCGCGTGTACTTGTCTCGATTTCACGTTTTCTACTCGCGTGTGTGCAATAAATATCAGGGACACTGTGGGAAGTGTTGTATATCGTTGATAAGCACGTGCGATTGTAATTACTCGGTGTTTTCTCTCACCGATCGACGAGCGTTCGATCCGATGCTGATATCGGGAAGCAACCAAGGGCGGTGCATCGATCGGTGAGTTGTGATAATCAATCTGTCTCTATTATTGTCTAATTACGCGTTTGTTTCGTTTGCAATGATTCAACGATATCCGTGTTAACGCATTGATAACCCGCAGGAAAAATATTCGCTTGTTTTTCACTTTGTGGAAATAACGAAAGAGCCCATATAGAATAAAAATGTTGTAGAAACATTACATATACATATATTTTAATATAACAATGGAATATTCTATATACATTACGAAATGTTGCTGCAATATTTCAATATCTGAATTCCCTATGTTGGAATTGTATAGAAATTAAAAACTGATAGAAATAATTACATTTTTAATCTCTTGCTAGTTGCTCTTTGCAAGCTTTCTATAATTTTTATGACAAACTCAAATACAAAATGCATAACGTATCGCGCGTTGCATAGCGGTAAATAAACAAACTAGCGGGGATGAATATTATTTTTTTGTAAAGTTTTTGAAATGTTACAGTATAACATTTCTCTTCAGGGTGTCTACTACCTGGAAAAGTATAGAAAACCTAGAATTCTCAGGGAATTTTTTTGTATCTGGAAAAATCAGGAAATTCTCATACAATTTTATTGGGACTCATAAAGGTATTTTCAAAAAAATTCTCTCTAATAATTTTGCTCTTATACTGTAAGCAATTTACAATCCGCCAATAAGCCAAATTGTGAATTATGTATTTAAAATATATTATAAATATATTTCTATCTCTGTTTATGTGTTCAATGTCTTAACAAAATATTGAATATACAATACATATTATTTATTTTAATTTTTAGTGATAAAAAAAGAAAATGTTATGCAAGTTAAACATTATTATCTTAGAAAGATATTCAGTTTTATTCAGTTACATTTAAGTGGCTTTGTATTTTTTTTTTTTCGTATGGTGAAAAGCATTAGAAAACGCGTATAATAAAAAAAAACTTATTTTAGGAAAATGGAAGATTAGAGAATATTCAGGAATTTTTTTTACAATATTTAAGTAGACACCCTGAACATTTCTCATGAAATATTATATTAACATGTTCCTGTGTCGCTACAATATTGCGTTGCAATTTGCAAAATTATAACATTGCTGCAATGTAATTGAAATGTTCTGTGCTCTATTGGAGGTTATGAGAAGAGAGTTCAATCCTGCGGCGCGCGCTACGCGTCCGAATTTGAATATAATATACGAAAAAAGTGTATGCGAGTAAAAAAAATCCTTTGGTTCTTTGGCCGTTAATGAGTTGAGCAGATACTTTTATCTCATACACAGCGTAGTACATATTCGAACGTACTATAATATCTTAATTAAAAAAACTATCTGCTTTCGCGTCTCTCAGCATGAATATACAATACATATTATTTATTTTAATTTTTAGTGATAAAAAAAGAAAATGTTATGCAAGTTAAACATTATTATCTTAGAAAGATATTCAGTTTTATTCAGTTACATTTAAGTGGCTTTGTATTTTTTTTTTTTCGTATGGTGAAAAGCATTAGAAAACGCGTATAATAAAAAAAAACTTATTTTAGGAAAATGGAAGATTAGAGAATATTCAGGAATTTTTTTTACAATATTTAAGTAGACACCCTGAACATTTCTCATGAAATATTATATTAACATGTTCCTGTGTCGCTACAATATTGCGTTGCAATTTGCAAAATTATAACATTGCTGCAATGTAATTGAAATGTTCTGTGCTCTATGGGAGGTTATGAGAAGAGAGTTCAATCCTGCGGCGCGCGCTACGCGTCCGAATTTGAATATAATATACGAAAAAAGTGTATGCGAGTAAAAAAAATCCTTTGGTTCTTTGGCCGTTAATGAGTTGAGCAGATACTTTTATCTCATACACAGCGTAGTACATATTCGAACGTACTATAATATCTTAATTAAAAAAACTATCTGCTTTCGCGTCTCTCAGCAGAAATTATAATCGCAATTGTATATTAACAATATATAAATTATGATGCGACTGTTTATATTTAATGCTCGTTTTGTGATACCATTAACGAATGAAAATAATACTAGAGATGTTAAAAAGCACGCTGTAATTACGATTGCGTTTTAATTTTTAATCAAAAGTATGTGAAATATGTTACTCTTGTCAGCATGAAGCACTGGCTCTGATCGTTTTTGGATATAGTAAAATTTAAATTTGCAAACAATTAAGTAGGAATACTGGCAGATAAGAGCCAAGATTGCTCTTATCTGCCAGTATCCCAACTTAATTGTTTGTACTCTGAGCCTATTGCTGTTATTATTTAAATTTGCAGCCACGGTGTATCTCGTAGTACCGTGTGATGTTGCCGCCCGGTTCGTCGCAGTGTGTGTGTGTCTGTGTGTGTGTACATACATACATGCGTACGTACATACGTCGCGTGCGTAACGAAGGTCAAGAGTGCGTTCCTCGTTGCGCGTGCATAAAGTGTCGAAATTCCGAAACGACGGGCGAACGTGACATCGCGGATTAATTAGCGCGCGCGATCCTAATTAGTGTCGCGGTTCACCGATCGATCCATATCTATGCGCGCTTATGAACGGATCAATGATGTGGGGTCAGGAAGACGGTAATGGCAGCGATGCATCGATTAGTGAATAAATTCATCTGTCATGTGTTTGCACGTAATTATCATTTATTTTATATTGCATTGTTTTCCCTTTGTATAGAGAATTAAAAGATAAACGAGTAAATATATATGTAATTAAATTTTAAATATTATAATAATTAAACGGAATATTATAAATGTTGATAAAACATGTTTGTCAATGTTTTACATAACAGAATATTCATTGCGCGCAAATAATTATTATTGTTAAAGAAGCAAAGAGAAAGAGAGAGGTTTGATAATTATTTATTTTTATATTCCAGTTAACGATTTACAAATAATATTTACGCGGATAATTGTTTGTTTATTCATGATCAAATGCTTGATGAAAATCTGGAGATAGATATGCGATGTTAATATTGAGAGTAAGAGAGTGTAATAATATTTTTAATCATTTATAAAATTATGTGCTAAAAAATCTTAATAATTTTAATTTCGTGATTTAGAAAATATGCGAAACATATATACATATATATATTTTTTTAAATAAAATATCTGAGCAATTTCAATTGAATTTAACGAAACA